AGTACACATATCCCAGCTAATGTGGAATCTTTCCCTCTGGGTTTTCTCCTCAACTCTCTTAAGAGAACTCATGGGTACAGTAACTATAATGTAAATTCCTTGGGAGCAAAGACTTTTTTATATTTATCTTTTTATCTTCGGCATATAGAATAACATGCCTTACTTAGTACAGGTTTGTTTGTTGATGTGAATTAAATTTTGCACCAAATATCAGAATATCTGATTTGATAAAAGCCTTGCAATATTTTTTTTCTGATTTGTAAAGGGAACAGGGTATTTGAAATTAGAACTATTATGGAAAATGTAAGATGTAAGTTTGTACTTAATTGTAGGATTCTAAAACAGATAATGGAAGAAGGTAAGGGAGGGAGAATAAATTGAAAAAGGATCTTCATGGGAGGGAACCAGGATTTGGAGAACAGCTAGTGGTGAGCAGTAGAAATCTAGTTGGTACAAAAACTGAGGGTTAGATTATTGCAAAATACAGAGAACCAAAAGCAGTCTAGAGAACACAGAGCTGGGAAAGCTTCTCTAAAGAGCATGAGCTCCTACTGGGTATACAACTTTCACTTCCAACTTTAGTCCCCAAAGTGTGAGGCTACAAATAACCCCAGGTTAGAGGAAATGATTACTGCTCTGACTATGATCATGTGAGTCTCTGTTGATGAAAAAAAAAACTATGGTGCCAGGTGCAGGAAACTCCATCTGGGCCCCAACATCTGGCAGCAGCTTTTGCATACCCTTAAGATGATGGGCCCAGTCTCAGATTCTTGTATTTTCAGAAATACACCCAAGGCAGCCTCAGAATGGCCTCATCACCTGAGGCACCCCAGGCACTGCCAAAAGACATAAGACACTGAGGGGAGGGGCCAAATAGTCTTAGAATATCACTTCCCCAGTCATTTCCCTTCAAATCAGTTCCTAGAAGGAAGAAGTGCATAGCCGCACTCATAAAAGGAACATTTTCCAGGACCCTAAAATGAAACCATTTTGACCTATTCAAGGCCTGAAAAATTCATCCAACATAATTATTTATCCTTAAGTAGCAGTCCTTTCTCAGCCTTTAAAATACCTTTTAAAATAAAATCTCTGCTTGCAAATAATGGAATCTGCCATATAATTCAGCTAAGTATGACTCAGATGCTTTTCTGGTCATAGGACTGAGTTCACTAGCTATACTACTTCACTTGTTCATATTAATATACATACATACATACATACATACACACACACACACACACACACACACACATATATATACATACACACACACACACACACACACATATATCATAGTGGGTTCCTGGCCACCAGCTGCCATAACACATGTGACTCTCTAAACATCCCTATAGCCAAAACTGCAGCCACAGTTGGTAAATGGGTACCAAGACAGCAAAATATAGTGGTTTATTGTGTGTCTGCAGATCTTCCTGGATTGCTTTGGGAAGCCAAATGCAAGATATCAGAATACAGCTGAGAAATTACTTAACTCAAGATGTTGAGTGAATGGTTGAAGCATTCCATTTGGTGTGAAAAATGCAAGAAAATGTTATTGAAATTTTAATATTGTTTTTAATAATTTAGTCCTCCTAGTATCTCTGATTTCATCTTTGTGAATATTCCTTCCCCTGACCCACATAACAACCCATCTACAACTTAGTGAATGGTCACTGACTTGATGTGTTTAAAAAATTCATCATTGTGTAACCCACCAAGTGATGCTTGACTATCAGTACATATATAAAAAAAATATTTAAGGGTGATAAGGAGGTAAATAGAGAACTTCCTAGAAATTCTGAAAGGGGGCTATTATACATTTTTAAGGCTTTTAGAGATTGTTAAACCTGGTTTTTATTATGAATAAATTCATGTTAAAACTCTTAGATTTTCTTTACTTGATATAAAATGTATCATTAACAGTACTCCAGCCTAGTAGTGTTGTACTCAAATAGAATTATGGACCACAAATATATATATATATATATATATATATATATATATATATATATATATATATATACATATATACACACATACACACACACATATATATACACATATATATATATACACACATATATATATATATACACACATATATATATACAGATATAGATAGATATAGATATATAGATATAAGAATGGGCCACATATTGACTTAGTTTTAAAATATAATGCTATCTATGTCTTATTGTATTTTTATTTATTTTGTTAAATATTTCCCAATTACATTTTAATCTGGTTCAAGCTGTATGCTGGAGTGCAGTGTGTTTGACATCTTTGCTCTAATCTATTCCAAAAGTGATTAGGATAATTCTTTGGCTCAAAAGTGAAACAAGGAGAATAGAAGAGGAAAAGATTTTCTGGAGGAATCTATCAATTAGCAATCACTTACAAAGTGTCTACTATGTGCCTAGCACCATGCTAAGCACAGGAAAATAAAAAGATGAAAAAATAAAATAAAATTCACCACCGTCAAATAACCTTCCATTCTATGGAATGGAAAGAGAAATAAAATACATACTAGTAAATTTGGGAGGGAAAGTGGTATTAACGGTTAGGGGTGTCAGGAAAATTTCCGTGTTCATGGTGTTTGAGCTGAATTTTGAAGCAAGCTAGGTATTATAAGAAATGGGGATGAGGAATAAGAACATTCCAGGCATAAAGCTCATTCGCTACAAAGAGAAGAAGATGGGAGTTGTAGTATCATGTGTGTAGGTGGGTTGGAGCAAAGAATTGGTGAAGGAAGGTCATCCATAATATGGCTAGAATGGTAGGCTGGGACCAGATTATGATGTTATATAGTAGGATGTAAATTTGATCTTAGAAGTAATAGAGATTTGAGGAGAGGAGCAATGCAGTTAGACGAATGCATCATGAAAATCACTTTGGCATACACAGAATATGCATCGAAGAGGGGAGAAATTTGAGGCAGGGAGACTAATTAGCATATTATTGCAATAGTCTAGATGGGAGGTGATGATGGCTTTAAGTAGAGTGAAGGACATAGGACTATAGAGTAGGAGCTGGATGTGGGTTTCTGTGAGCAAGTAGAATCGATGAAACAGCAATTGATATGTAAGGTGAGGGAGATATCATAGTCAAGGATGATGCTAAAAATTGCAAATCTAGATAAGAAGAAGGCTGGTGGTAGCTTTGACAGAAACAGAAATGTTTTGAAGAGGATTAGGTTTCAGGGGAAAAGGGTGAGTTTTACTTTGAATATGTTGTGTTTCTGGTGTCTCTGGAACATTCAACTAGAAGGAGTATAATAGGCAGTTGGAGATGATGAACTAGAGCTCAGGGAGAGACATGTAGACTAGGTGTGGACCTGGAAATTATCTGCTTAGAGATGGTAATTAAATCCAGGGGAACTTATGATGTCATCAAGTAAGAGAATGTAAAGAGAGAAGAGCAGGGCCCAGGACATAGCTTTGAGAAACCACCAGTAAAGAGGACTGGACAATAATTAGAATGGCATAAGGAAGAAGGAGAGTGGCTAAAATGAAGGTTTATGTGTAAGAAAGAGTTGCTTATCATGGAATCATCTGAACTGTGACTGTGAGTTTACTGTTCTATGCTGATGCTTCATCATGGCAATAAGATTATTCTAGATTCTCAAAAGTTATGACAATGGAGCATTAGCTATGGGCTAAGAATACTTTGACTATGTCAATTATCTGAGAAACGGCCCAGATAATTATGGAGAAGCTATCACTTCTCTACAGGTACACTCATATTTTGTAATGTGAAAAGTGATGAAAATTATTTACTAGGTCATAAAGCCATTGTGATACATATGGATTAAGGGAACACCTACACTGATGAAATCATATATCTTGTGAATTTGAAAGAGAGGAAAAGACGGAAGGAATAGTGTGCTCAGGATGTCCTGGGTGAAAAGAAATGAAGTAGCAGAGAAGAGACATTGGATCAGAAAGGCACTTAGTGGTATCATTGGCCCCAAACAGGTTGACTTGTTCTGAGTGACAGGGCCAGATAGAGGTGATATGATATGTAGCAATTTCATAAAGAGTAGGGAGAGGAAGACTCTCTATTTTTATATGTATTGGATGGCAATGTCAGGTGTTCGCAGCTCTGAGAATGCCTATTTATTTGGAGTATTTAATCTCTACTTCCCTGATAAAGGAACTTTTCAGGCTTCAGTATAGAAACCTGTCCCTTCTTTACCTAAGCAATAACCACAAGCCAAAATGAAATAAATGCAAATGAAGAGACAGAGGGCTTCAGTTGTGTTTTTAAATAATTACACACCTAGATCTAGAACAGTGTTTTGTTGTTGTTCAGTCATTTTTCAGTCATGTGTGACACTTTGTGACCCCATTTGGCATTTTCTTGGCAAACACAATGGAGTGGTTTGCCATTTTCTTCTCCAGTTCATTTTATAGATGAAGAAACTGAGGCAAACACAGTTAAGTAACTTGTATCCACTGTGCTACCTAGCTGCCATTAGAATAGTGGTATTAAACTCAAATAGTAATAGACCCTGGCTGGCAGCATATTGATTTAAAAAACTCATAAATTTATATTATTAATGTTGTATTATATTTTTATTTATTTTGTTAAATGCTTCCCAATTATGTTTTTGTCTAGGTTGGGCCCCAACCTTGACATCTGTGCTCTGGAAGCCTTTCTCACACGTATATTCAACAGACTTCTTAGCACTATAACTTTCCAAAGCTTCCCACAATAATATTCCCTCCTTTCTTGTTCTAGTAACAAGGAAATGGGACAGCCTCCATCTCTGGAACTAGAATCAAGTTTCCTTGCTTTATCTAAAAACTTCTGAATTCCTTACTAGGATCATATGTACAAGAATATGGATTTCATTTATATGAACCAGAAAGAAAGGAGTGATGAATTGCATTAAAACCTGGGACATAAACTGAAAGAAACATTGGTTTATGTTCACTGTAGAGAATATTCCAGTTGTTCTTTCTTAGTTGAAGAATTTTAGAAGATGGATATTTGGCTGAAATTCAAACTTTCATTAGGTGTATTAAACAAAAAAAAACTTCGATTCAGGTAAAAAAAATGACTCTGGGTTTAATTTTGTGTTCAGCCAACTGATGTATTTTCTTTCAGGAGGGGGTTCATGGTGAGTTTAATTACAAATCCTTGATTAGAACCTGTGGGGGAAAAAAAGAATTGATTAAAACTCCAGTTAGAGTAACATGTGGATGGACAAGTATTTCCATAAAGGATACACATAGCCCCATTGCAGAAACTATAATCTTTTTCATCCTAAAACTTCCAGCCAAATATAAACCACAACAGATGTTGGTTTTCGTTTTCTTGAGCTATTCTAAATCAAACTGTACTCCACAGGAATTAGCTTCCTTCATTTTTCTTGTCTTGAGCCAAATGGTCCCTTTTTTCCTCTCCTCATTCAATAAATCGGCATAGTTCACACATCACACCTGGAACCAGGTTTAAGTGAATCAATGGCATTAGGTTAAATTCCCTAGTTTTATTTTTGTCTTCCATATAGTAACCAGAGGAGAAAATGACTCCACCTCTACCATTCATACAACTATGTGATTCTTTATGAATTCCTACTAACAGCCCCATAATAGAAGTATACACCACTCTTGGATAAATTGTACTTCAGAGACTATCTTGAGCATCTGAATGTTAATCTACAACTTTCTGTGATTTTTTCCCATGTGGCTGATGACATAATAACAGTCAATATTTTTTCTACCAGCAAAAAGAAAAATCCTCAAACTTTATTTAGGGAAGGACAATTTCTAACCACTTCCTGAGAAAGATTTGAGAAGCTAGACAGTCAATGACGTTAGTATTTTGTTGGTCAGCTTGTTTGAAGATCAAGGAAAGCTTGTCTGTTCTACTAATAGCCTGAATCCTTGTTACCTCAAGAGACAAAGACAGAGAGACAGAGGTAGAGGCAGAAAGAGATAGTAAGACGAGTAGGGCTTTTGACCAACTCTCTGATGCCATCAAACATCTTTAACAGAGAGGTGATGAGCATCATTGTACTCTGATGCTCTAAAATAGAGAAGAGTAAACAGAATAAACCCAGCAAACAATAATAAACCGTATCCCACTAGATCAGGTCGTATGATTGAGTCACTTTTCCAAGACAGTTTCTCTTCTGTTTTAGAGATTTGGAGCAAAAATCTTACCTTCTGTCTTCTAAACTGTCTTCTAGGTCTGAGGGTCAGTATAGGTGAAACTTTTCCCCCTACTACCTTTCAAAGTATAAGTCAGTTTTCATTCAAGGGAGTCCTACATTGTTAACAAAAAGCTGCCTTTTTAATCAAATCATGACTTGTTGGGTCCAATTTTTTCCTCTAGTTAAAGTTATATTTTCAATAGCTAAAAAAAAAAATACCTTGGCATCAGCTGTAATTACAATATTGCCAAAAAGGCTTGCTGCTGTTTGTCCTTTGTTCTTGAAGAGGCCTATGACATCAGGGAAGTGATACCATGACATTCAAATGAATTGGATTTAAGTGAGGAAGGGCTGTGCAAAGTCACCAGCCTTACTTTCTCCTCCAGTATTTGATCCGGGTCAAGTGGCAAGATATAGATAAGGACAATTGGAGATGGTCCTGGATGTGGTGGGAGACCTTGGCCCTTTTAAGCTAAAGCTTTTAAAAGGTCTCAGCTTGAGAGAGGCAACTGCCATTAAGTGATTAAAGCTAGGTAAGAAATGAGGCAGTTAAATAGTGAAATGAATGAATGAATGAATGAATGAGTGAATGAATGAATGAATGAATGAATGAATAAATCTGGGAGAAGAAGACCCTCAGGGTTTCTGGACAACATAGAGACAAGTGCTATTTACTGTTTACTCTGAGCTGATCAGGGCCTAAACAATGACCAAGTGGTTCTTGTCTGGGACCTATTGTTGGCCAATCAATGAGAGCCATTGTAATTTGAATTTAAGGTGTGGTCCTTAAGGGGAAAAAAAGTTTCAGAGATCAAAATTTATATTCCTTTGGGCCAAAAATCCCTAAGCAGGAAGGCTTCTACCAGGAGACAAGGTATCTTGGACCTTTTAATAGAATCTACTTTGTGGAGGAAGATTAAACAGATGTCATGTGCCTGGAACTGGAGGTAAGACTAGGGCATAGAGTAGCAGCAGATAGACCAGTGAAGGAATATACCATGATCCCTCTTGAAGTTGAGATGGGAGCAACAAGTATGATAAGAGAACAATCTGATTGCAAAAGACTCTGAGACCACCATGACCTTAACTCAATAGAAGTTTAAATTAAAATCATTTGCCTTCCCACTACCAACATTTACAGAAAGGCATTTCAGTGACATCTGCAATGAAGGAACTATATTTGAGGTGCTAGGTAGCACAGTGAATGGAGCACTGGGCCTGAAGTCAAGAAGACCTGAATTCAAATGTGACCTCAAATGCTTTCTACTTGTGTGACCACAGGAAAATCAATTAGTTGCTTCCTGCCTCAGTTTCTTTATATGTAAAAATAGGGATACTAATAACACCTACTTCCTAGGGTTATTGCGAGGATAGAAATGAAATGTTTGTAATGTACTTTGCCAAACTTAAGATACTATAGAGGTGCTAGCTATTATTTTCATATTCTCAAAGAGAGCCAATTTTAATATGTATAGATGGTATTGGGAAATGTTTTTCTTAGCCTCATTTTAGCTATTAAAAATGAAATGATGGGGCAGCTAGGTGGTGTAGTAGAGAGAGCACCAGCCCTGGATTCAAGAGGCCCTGAGTTCAGTCTGGCCTCAGACACATAACACTTACTAGCTGTGTGACCCTGAGCAAGTCACTTAACCCCATTGCCTAGCAAAAAACAAAAAAAACCAAAACAAAACAAACAAACAAAAAAATAAACTAAATGATACCAATGTTTTCTCTGGTTTTCTCATTTTTTCCTTTCAGGTGATTAGGTTGATGGAATTGAGTTAAACAAGTCTTCCTCAAACTATAATTTGATTATTTATTACTAAAATAAATATGTCCACTAGTCTATTATATTTATCCAGGAAAAATTCTCATGACTATTCATTAGCTAAACATGGTACAGGGTAAAGGACAAATAGCTCTTTTTTTTAATAGATCAACCAATTATGTTTCAGGCATCCCCAATCCATCACACATGTGCCAGACGATGACATGTAAAACCATTTCAGCTGCTACCTTAAACTTGGTCTTGAGACAGAAGTCACATTCAGATTTCCATTCTTTGCATAGAGGGTCATCGCTACGACCCCTCTGCTTAAAGCATATACAGCTCCCCCATACAGTGCTGTCTTTGTTATGAGACGAAAAACTGTGAAAGGGGAACTCAGGAAGTGGAAGTCAGAAAGTTTCACTGAACTCAGGAAATCCATCTCTAAGATATTTTTTTTCAAATTTCTCTCTCCGCATCAGACACTGTGTTAACGGTTACATGAAATGCAAAGCAGCGTGAATATCCCTTTTAGCTTGTGACTTTCCCCATTGTGGTTTCAGTATATCATGGGTTGGCACAAGAAATTAAAGGGGAATTTTGGGAGAGTTTTGCAGAAGATGTAGACATCATGTGAAGGCCTGTACTTGACACAGAAAAAGTTTGGAAACACAGAAATGCATGAAATATATGCATAGTATTTGTATAATATCAACATATTTTATCTTTTAATACCATAATACTTCAGATATCTTCTCTGGTACAAAGGGAGGTCTAAAAACATTTATGTGGGTTCTCCAGATTGCAGGGGTACCATGACCCAAGCCCCCGTGATGTGGATGGGATAACTATAGTTGGAAAAATCCTGTTCTTGGAATCAGAAAACCTGGGTCCAAATTCTTGCTGCTTTCCTCCCATGGGCAAATCATTTCACATTTCAGAGCCTCTGTTCTGTCTTCTATAAAATGGAGATGAAAATATTTGTTCTATCTCTATCCCTTTACAACTCTAAGCCTGCAAAGCTTAAAGTATAAAGTGATAGGGCTATTATTATAAGGTCCCTAGTGAGAATACAATAATTAGAAAACAATAAAGAACTGAATATCAGAGATGGGTAAGGGCAGAATACATTAATATCTTCAACAAGAGACTAAAATCAAACGTTAAGAAATCTCAGGCTGTCATGACAATTCTGGGACATTTTAAGCCATCCCAAGGAAAGGTATAATAATTTGCAGCCTTATGGCTTTCAATTTCTCCAAATGAAGTAATGAATGAAGCATTTGTCTCTTCCAGAATGGCTACATCTTCACCTCAGGTACCCCTAGAGGTACCCTGAGGTTATTTGGGATATCTTTTCCCTAATGCTATTGGCTCAAACTTCTCTTCTGGTGTTTTCTCTCCCTTCCTATTAGCTGTCAATTATTAACATCACACTTTGGTTACTATTTAAGTAATTAACATCGATTAACTTTTACAAATGGGGTATTTAACTTTAATGACATAAGGTTTTTTCTTGTTGTTTTGTTTTGTTTTTCCTGCAAGGCAATAGGGGTCAAGTGACTTGCCCAGGGTCACACAGATAGTGAGTATCATGTGTCTGAGGCTGGATTTGCACTCAGTTCCTCCTGACTCCAGGACTGGTGCTCTATCCACTGTTCCACCTAGCTGCCCCTAATGACATAGTTATAACAGAAGTGTAAACATTTCCCCTCCCCTACACTTTGGGGATATACTATATTGCCTCAATCCCTGAGGAGCATGGGCTCAGACTTACATTTTCTTCTTAGAGTAGTTCCCACCACTTTCACACTATTGAATGAGTCTTTGTCTTACCTACCACTAGGATGGGTCTCAAAGGTTGTTTTTCCCCCACTTCAGGGACCCATAGCTGGACCATCTGGCTGCAAGCTCTGGCAAGGACTTGACTCTAGAACTTCTCAAAGCTCATCAGGTTGCAGTCATTTCCAATCTCCTTCACCTAAAAAGAAAGAACAAATCCTGAGAAAAAGAACTGAGGCTCCTATTTACCGGTTGCACATTGACCTCATGAGGGGAAGGCCTAAGCATTTATCCTTTACAATGTTGTTTCTCTCCTCTCCCTCCTCCACCCCACAAGGCCACCAGGCAGGAAGAAATTACAACAAAAGAAAGGTGAGATTCTGCTTTCTAGTACCTTTTTAATGCTCTGTCCTGCTTGAGTTCCATCTCTGCAGTCAATCAAAAAGGTTCTTCATCATGTGGCTAGCAGAACAAAAACAGTTGCAAATGTTTCCCCATGCTCTGAATTTCAGATGAGAATTACATGAGGTGAGCATTCTTTACATGTTCCCGATAGCTGGGGCTCACTGGCAAGTTCCCCATTACAGAAAAATGGGGTTTGTAAGAAGCAGGAATTGAGAGTGATAGCAAGTTTGTCAATTTAGGTAACTGGAATGATAGTATTATTCTCAACAACAATAAGGAAATTTTGATGAAGTATGGGTTTAGGGTAGAACGTGATTTATACTTTAGACATTTTGAGTTTTTTATTCCTATGGGAAACCAATTAGGAATGTCTAATATACTGGATATCAGGAGAAAGATTAGTGCTAGATATATAGGTCTGGAAGTCACATGTGTAGAGATCATATTTGAACTAAAGGAGCTAAGGAGATCACCAAATGAATACACAGAGAGAAAAGAAAAGGGAGTCCAGAAAAAACCTTGGAACACATTCTTTTATTGTGGGTGTTATATGAATGATGATTCACAAAGGAGAATGAAAAAGAAGAGGGAGTATTCAGGAGAGCATGATCTACAGTTTTCAAATGCTACAGGGAGGCAAAGGAGAACAAGTACAGGGAAAAGAACACTAAATTTTAAAAAATTTTTTCTATCTATCTATCTGTCTATGTATCTATGTATCCATCCATCCATCCATGCATCCATTCATCTATCTATTTATCTATCTATCTAACCATTCATCCATTTATTTATTCATTACAATTAACAAAAATCTATTTTCTTTCCTTCCTATCTTTTCCTCCCATTTGGAAAAAATGAAGACAGAACCATTGTAACAAATGTGAATAGTCAAATAAAACAAATTCCCACTCAGGTATTACTGACTGGAAATTCCCAATACAGGTGGCATACACCTGTCATCCCAGCTACCTGAGAGGCTGAGGCTGGCATTCCGCTTGAGCTGAGGAATTCTGAGATGCAGTGCTGTATGCCAATTAGGTGTGTGTGCTAAGTTCAGCACTACAATGAGCTCCCGGAAGCAGAGGGCCACTAGGTTGTCCCATGAAAAGGCAAATAGGCCTAAGTTGGAAACAGTACAAGCCAAAGCTTTCATGCTGCTCGGGCTGCGAGCTTGCTCCCTGATAGCAGGAACTATTTTGTGCTTTTTCGTATTCTTAGCACAGGGCTTGGTACATAATAGGTAGTTAATAAATACTTGTTAGCTTACAAACTTCCGGCCTGCATAAGACAGGGAGACCCAGTCTACAAAGCAACAAACAAATAAAAGCAACAAATTACAGCTTTGTCCAAGTCCAAAAAAATACATGTTTCATTCTGTACTCTTGAGTCCATCATCTCTCAAGCCCATTAGATATGATAAATAAGAGAGCTTTGGCAAATTTGTGGAGAGGAAGGTAAGTTGAGTAAAGAAATTTGAAGCTAGGTTGAAGAGGTTTAAAAGAGTTAGAAAAAAAGGAAGTTGAGTTATTGTGTATAGATGATGTTTTAGTGGATTTCGTCCAAAGAAGAGAAAAGTGATCTAGGATGAGAATGTAGGAATGGTTGTATTTAGTGAAGATTTTTAAAAAAAGATTTTAAAGACTTAGGCATGTTCACTGTAAGCAGGGAAGGAACCAGTAGATGAGAAGAGACTGGAGAATAGAGGGAAGGGGAGATGGTAATAGGAGCAATATTCTGGAGAGGTAGGAAGGGACAGTATCAAGTTAACATGTAAAGGTGTGGCCTTGACAAGGAGAAGGGTTACCTTTTTATCAGTGAGTAGTTAAGACATCACCTTCATGATGTCATTGGTTCTCTTTGAGGAAGATGGAGTAACAATAGAAACAAGAGCAAATGACGTGGGAATAAAATGGAGATTGCCTCCATTCTTACCTATTCTCACCTCTCAACCCGCCACATTCTGGCTTCCAATACTACCACTAGACTGAGACTTCTCCTTCCAAGGTTACTAAATAATCTCTTAATTGCTAAATCCAATGGCCTTTTTCTGGGTTTATACTCTTGTTGGTAGTATTTGACACTATTAACCATTCTGTCTACTTGTTTCCTTTTTGCACCCCAGGTCCTCCTAACACTGTTATTTATTTGTTTACTTGCTGCCTGTCTGTCCATTCCATATCGGTCATCATTGCTGTATCACCAACTATGTCTTGAAACCAAGGCTCTATCCTGGGTCCTATTCTCTTCTCCCTCTGTTCTATCATTCCATGATCTTATCTCATATGAGAACAATTATCATCTTTATGCAGATAACTCAGTGATACACACATCTAGCCCTATTCCCTGAATTAACTAGCTGCTGTTGCATGTCCCATGAGGACCTCTAACTCAACATACTCAAAACTAATGTCTTTATTTTCCTCTTGACACCCCCACCCAATCTCTTTTTTTTTACTCTCTCTAGACCCTATAGCCAATCCCTTGCCAAGTCCTGTTGATTCTACCTACATGGCATCTCTCCCTTTCTCTCCAAGTACACTGCCATGCCCTAGTTCAGGCCATCATTGCATCTTGCCTGGGTTTTTGTGGTCAATTTTTAATTGGTCTCCTTGCCTTCAGTCCTTTTCCTACATAATCCATCCTAATCTATACAGCTGTAAAATTAGAATTCCTAGAACATAGGACTGATTATATTAAAATGTTAAAAAAACCAAAACACCCCCAATTGTCAACTATAGCCACTCAGTAAAGTATAGACCCTTTTCTTTGATATTTAAAAACCTTGGGCACAACCAAGTTGGCAGAGTAAAAGCAATGACTTACTTGAGCTCTCCCCCCAAACTCCTCCAAATATCTGTAAAAAATGGCTCTAAACTGATTCTAAAGCAGCAGAATCCACAAAAAGACAGAGTGAAACAAATTTGCAACTCAAGACAGCCTGGGTGGCTGATCAAAAAGGTCTATCGTGCCCAGCAGGAAGAGGAGCGCAGTTCCGCGTGGGTGCAAAGGCAAAACAGGTTTCAACAAACCTTGAAGAGGCCTTAGAGAACTGAATCACAGGGAAGCTATGGAAATTTCCTTACTTCTCAACCCACAAACTCCAAAGATAACTTAGAAGGTCAGTGGGAAAAGTCTGTGACCACAGTGAGAGAGAAGCATGGTCCCAGCCCCAGTCACCTTGCTCGGCCTGGGCAGTGGCTGCTTCTGGAGCTTCAGGCCCACAGATTGAGGGGGAATCAAGTGGCTGATCAGAGTGGGGTTGCAGGGATCTCTCTGCTGGTGCAAGATTATCTTGCTTTGCCCACACTTGGATCTGCGTCACAGTTCTGGGTGACGGTCCTGGGGCAAGGAGGAGTTCATAGAAGCATGGTGGAGGTGGAAGGGAATCTGTCTCATGGTTCCAAGGCAGAAAAGAGTGCTTGTGGTCACTCATAGACCAGAGCATAGGCCAGGAAAAGAGTAAACACCTCACCTCGTATCATACCACCTTGGAAGAACTGAAAATGTACAGGTCCCTAGAAGTACCTCTGAAAACAGCTGCACAAAACCCACAAAGCTTGGGACAGTACATTCTTCACACTGGAAGCAGACTCCTACCTTAACAAAGAGTTTAAAACTCAAATAATTGGCTGGAATCATGAACAAAGGCACAAAAACAGTCAGACCATAGAATCTTTCTTTGGTAACAAAGAAGATCAAAACATACAACCAGAAGAAGACAACAGAGTCAAAACCCCTACATCCAAAGCCTCCAAGAAAAATATGAATCAGTCCAGGCCATGGAAGAGCTCAAAAAGGAGTTTGAGAAACAAATAAGAGAAGTAGAGGAAAAACTGGGAAGAGAAATGAGAGTGATGCAAGAAAATCATCAAAAACAAGTCAACACCTTGCTAAAGGAGATCCCAAAAAAATACTGAAGAAAATAACACCTTAAAAATAGCCTGACCCAAATGGCAAAAGAGGTCCAAAAAGGCAATGTGGAGAAGAATGCCCTAAAAAGCAAAATTAGCCAAATGGAAAAGGAAGTCCAAAAGCTTACTGAAGAAAATACTTCCTTAAAAATTAGAATGGAGCAATTGGAAGCTAGTGACTTTATGAGAAATCAAGACACTGTAAAACAAATCCAAAAGAATGAAAAAATAGAAACAATGTGAAATATCTCATTGGAAAAACAACTGACCTGGAAAATAGATCCAGGTGAGAGAATTTTAAAATTATTGGACTATCTGAAAGCCAGGATCAAAAAAAGAGCCTAGACATCATCTTTCAAGAAATTATCAAGGAAAACTGCCCTGACATTTTAGAACCAGAGGGCAAAATAGAAATTGAAAGAATCAACTGATTACCTCCTGAAAGAGGTCCCCAAAGGAAAACTCCTAGGAATATAGTAGCCAAATTCCAGAGTTCCCAGGTCAAGGGGAAAATATTACAAGCTGCCAGAAAGAAACAATTCAAGTTTTGTGAAAACGCAATCAAGATAACACAAGATTTAGCAGCTTCTACATTAAGGGACCAGAGGGCATGGAATATAATATTCTGGAAGGCAAAGGAGATAGGATTACAACCAAGAATCACCTACCCAGCAAAACTGAGTATAATCCTTCAGGAGAAAAAAATGGTAATTCAGTGAAATAGGGGACTTTCAAGCATTCTTGATGAAAAGATCAGAGCTGAATACAAAATTCGACTTTCAAATATAAGACTCAAGTGTAAACAGGAAAGAGAAATCATAAGAGACTTATTAAGGTTGAACTGTTTATATTCCTGCATGGAAAGATGATATTTGTAACTCATGAGAGCTTTTTCAGATGACATAGGGTAGTTGGAGGGCAAAAATTATATGTATGTATGTATAAATAGATAGATAGATAGATAGATAGATAGATAGATAGATAGATAGATAGATAGATAGAGGGCACAGAGTGAGTTGAAGATGAATGGGTGATATCTGGAGAACAAAATTAAGGGATGAGAGGATTATACAGGGAGAAAGAGAAAGGGAGAGGTAGAATGGAGTAAATTATCTCCCATAAAACAGACAAGAAAAGGCTTTTGCA